GTAAGAAACTCAAAGGCAGTCTGGACAAGCAGAAGGTGCAAGCCTGGGCTCAGGGAGAGCTTCAGGTGTCCAGCTGGGAGCCAAGTGTGCTCTCCAGTTGCAGGTCAGAAGGTTGAGGAGCCGAAGAGGCAGGATCATGTGGCTGCCCCCAGCTCTGCTCCTTCTCAGCCTCCCAGGTGAGTGCAGCTGGGGCCTGGGGACATTGGTACTACAGGGGCGGAGCAAGGGGCTGAGATCATTCATCCCAGGTACAAGGGGAGGGGTCACATCTGGGAAAACCAGGAGTGTTTTTGTTAATTCATTCAGCAAAAGCACACTAGGGTCCCAGTTTGTGCCAGGTATGCATCAGGCCCCGAGGACACGAAGGAAAAAAAGAAATAGGGGGAAAAAGAGAAAAATAGGACTGGTTGTTAAAAAGAGGAACCAAGATGGTTCAGTGGGTGAGACATACAGATAAATAGCAATTAGTGGCAGGACACAAAAAGGCACCAATGGACATGTGTTCGGAGGACGGAGCACGTCTGACTGGGAGAGCTGCAGAAATGAACAGACCTCAAAGAGCCTGGAGGAGAGGTAGCAGCCCTTCAAGCAGAGAAGAGAGAAGAGCATTCTGGGAAGGGAGATTGCTTGACCAAGGTTGGAGGCTTGAGAAAGGATAATGTGTTCACCCAAAGGGGTCTCTCTCAATGTGCAGGGTGACTGCTTGCACATGAGGTTGGAAACACAAAAGACAAGATTATGCAGGGCCTTAGACACCATGCTCAGAAACTGAGACTTACAGAGAGAAAATTGCTCAGGAACCCAGGTGGGAGATGGGAGGGACGTGAATATCCCTTCTCCTTGTGGAAAACCATTGCAGACACTTTAGAGAACATTAGAAGACAGTCTGGCAGTTTGCACAATGTATGCAGTATGCGTGGATCTGGGGGTCTGGGGACTGGCCACCTGGCACAAACAAATTGGTCCACAGAGGGGCCATGGGAAATTGCATAGTCAGGGAGTTGGGGGACCTGAGTTCCAGGCCTGACAGCATGCATGACACAGGCAGGTCCCTCACTGTTTGAAGGCCTGGCTTCTGGTGTGAACGGAAAGTCCTGGAAGTCTTTTGTGGCTGTAATATACTATTCAGGTCAGATATCAATAAATGAGGGCTGCGGGCACTCCCTGAATTATCACTGCCCTTGTTGATTTTATTATATGATGAAGAAGCCCCGTGATGATACCTGGAGATACGCTGTGAGGGTGGTGACTTTTCTAGGGTGGCCATGTTCTCTAAGCAGGACTGTCCCAGAATTCCCAGAGGACAGCAATTCAGAATGTCTGCCTCTCTAGGCTCCAGTTTTGCATTTGAGCTCAGAGATCCCCATCTGCTCCCACTCTTAATCTTAATCAACGTCCAGCTCATCTGAAGGCCCAGGAGAAGGACTTGGGTAAGCCTGGGGTCACACACACACTCACACAACACACACCGTGGAGTCAAATCCACACACACCCACATGCAGTCACGCCTCTGTGCACATCTGTATTCTCTCTGTATTCTCACACACTCCTACACAGTCACATTGTCATACTCATCATATACAGGGATATATATATATACACACACACACATACATACACACACACACAGAGGCATGTACTCACTCACAGGGACACCGAGTGACACATACACTTGCACACACTTGCACTGTCACACATATACTCACAGTCTCCCTATATGCACACTCCCACACAAACACCCTTCTCCCCCAGACAAAGACTGAGGCCCACCAAGGCTGCTGATCGGTGGCTTGGGGAGGGTGGGGTGCTATAGAGACAACATAGAGGAGTCCCTCCTTCCCCCTCCAACCCTGTGAGTTAACGGGAAGGGAGTGAACTTAGTCAAGGATGAAAGAAAAGCCAGCCCACCAAGTTTTCACCTACAGACTGCCATTAGCTACTGAGGGGTTCCTTCTGTGAAATGAAGAAGGAGAGAAAGTGGGTGGGGTGATGTCAGAATGACCCAACCTCCGGTCGGACGTTCTCTTATCTGCTCAGTTACATAAGCCCCCAACAACCCCGAGAGAAAGGTAGGGCACCAGCACAGAGTGGGCGCTGGGTAAGTGTTTGCAAGCGGAAGAGAAGACCTCTGTTCTCCTAACGAGGAAAGTGAAGCAAGATTGGCCAGGGGCACAGACCTGTACCCCAGAAATGACTCTTCAGAGCTTGGGCGAGCATGGCTACAGGAGGAAGTCAGCAATTAAGATGGGCTCCAACCCATCCCAGGCCCTATGGACGTCTGTGCTCTAAGCTCTCGTGTGGCTGCCTTTGTTTCATTTTTGTGTCATGTGTCACTTGCTGTCAGCCCAGGCACAAAGCTCAACCATTTTCTTAATTTCGAGACAAGAATGTTCACACCAGAATTTCACACACATGGCAACTTTTCCTGAAGGATTGACACCTAGGAGGAAGTTTAAATCTCAGATTCACGCAAATGAAAAATTGACATTCGTACAGCCTTATGCTTTAAAAACCCGTCAGCCCTGTTCCCCAGGGTTCTGCTTCCTGCCGACTGCTATTCTATCATTTCTGCCTTTCCTTCTTTCAAACAAACTTAAAAATCCACATAGGCCTAATCAATAGTTCCATCCATCATAACCTGCGTTTATAAAAACCTGCCACATATTTCTAACAAATTCGCCCAATCACACTACGCGTGATTTACTGTAAGATTAAATTACCAAAGCTGGGAGGGATGAAACTTCTATTTCAAAGCAGCAGCATCTGTTCTCTGCTCTCTGTGAGTGAGCCTGCTTTCTACTGTAGCTGTGTTATTTATTTTTAAGATAGAAAGTGACCCTATCTGCTGACTCCTGCATTTGTTTTTTTTTCATTTACATCAATTGCTGTCTCCTAATTTACTCCTTTTTTATTTTTAAAAAGGTATCTTTATGGTTTTATTAGTTAATGATATTCTAACCATTTTAATATAATAGAAACGTATGATTTAGAAAGTGAAATTTCCCCCCACAAAACCCAACCTCAGCTCTAACCACTGTTTAAAATTGAGAACACACACTTTCAGATTTTTTTCCTACTCATGAAATATAGAGAAAAACCACAGAAATGGAATCATACATACTCGGTTAATCAACATTTTTTTAACCTAATAATAATATAACTGGGACGTTTTTCCCGTCACTTTCCGCGATTCGCCCTTTTCTTTTCAACCATGTTATGGGTGGGCCAGGATTTATTAGCACGATCTACCATTCACGGCATTTGAGTCTGTTCCCAGCGCTTACTATTACATTAGTACTGCAATTAGCATCCTTACACTTTTTGTCCACTGGTATGGAAATTATAGTTAATCCTAGAATCAAAACGATTATGTCCCAGATCAAGCGGACAAGCTTCTTTTTCCAAAACAGTCATACACTTGATTGGTACCTACCAAGTCCAGCCACTGTGCAAGCCGTGGGGGGTGGGGGTGGAAAGAGAGAAGAAAAACAAACAGGAGGTCTCTGCTCTTCAGGACAGAGCAGCCTAGCAGGGGAGACAGAGAGAGACTGCGAAGGATAATAAAAAGCCAGTGTGGCATTCAGGTTTCTATAAGGGGCTGTGGGCGCAGTTGAGGAAGCAGTTCTCTTTGGGAAGGGGAATAAGACTTTGCAAAGAAGGCGGAACCTTGAAGGGGACGGCAAGGGTGACCAGTAGACGGGAGGGATTAGAGAAGGAGTTTCCAGGGGAAAGAAGGACATGAGCCATCATGCTACCGCCTGGGAGGACACATCAGAGTCAGGGGAAGAGAAAAGTGGGGGTGGGTCATGGGGAGAGTGGGAGGCAGGGCGAGGCAGGAAGTGGCGCCGGACTCGGATGTAGATAATAGAAAGACTTGAATGCCAAACTAAATCATTTTACATCGTTCCAAGGCCGTGGGCAGTGGCTGCAGGAGAGGTTCCAAAAGATTTTTAAGTGCTCACAGCTGTTGCAGATAAGGACTAGGTAGGGGCAATTTCAGTACCGACCTCCAGCAGCCATATGCAGAGGACCGTGGAGGAGGGGTGTGACAGGAGCTGGGGAGAACTCTCCAGGTGCTACTGCCACGATCCAGGCGCCAGATGAGCACCTGACCTGCTGACAGGCTATCACTGATGATACGACTCCCGGCTCTCTGGGGTCATATCCCAGTCTTATAACAACCTACAAGCTGGAAAGCAGTTCCGCCATTTTACACATAAAGAAGCAAGACCCTCGGAGGTTCAGTACACTCTTCCAAGGTCTCCCAACTAGTTTGTGGTTGGCATGTATTTCTCTATCCCAAACTTACTCTCCTGTGTCATGCTGTCCTTGTGGACTGGGACAGCAGAGAAAAAAAGAAGATCATTCTGAGAAGCACTTCTGAGGTAGAGTTGGCTACCCTGGTTACCAGTCAGTAGTGGAGGGAAGAGGGGGCGGGATCAATGAAGATGCCAAGTTTTCTAGTGAGGTGCGCTGCTGCAGCTGTCAGTGCTGCTGATGGACTACTACATTACTTTCTGATACAGGTTTATTATCTTATTATCTTACAATTCTGAAGTTCAGAAGTCCAAATAGCCTCACTCGCTAAACTCAAGTGTAGGAAGGTTGCATTCTTTCTAGAGGCCCGAAGGAAGAATGTTTTTCCTCCTTTCCCAGCTTCGAGAGGCTGCCCTCATCCTTCGTCCAAAGCCTCTTCCTGCATCTTCAAATCTCTCCCTGACCCTGACACTATCTCTTCTTCAACTCACAAGGGCCTTTGTGATGGCACTGGGCCCACCTGGGTCACCCAGGATAATCGCCCCCATCTCAAGCTTCTTAATTTAATCCCATCTGCAAAGTCCCTTTTGCTGTGGAAAACGACATAGTCACAGGTTCTGAAGAGTAAGAAGGCAACGTCTCTGAGGGCCATTAATCTGCCTGCCACAAATGCAAACCTCAAGGAAACTAAAATAGCTTCAGGTAGAAAGTCTAAGGTGTGAGGAGGCAGCACCTGCCAGGTGCTACAAGGACACAGCCCCCACCCCCCATCCTGGGCCTGAGGCTCTGGGGCGGTGAGGCGGTCAAGAGGGCCTTCTGCTGTGCTTCCCTGCTTCTCTGTGCTGATTCATTTCCAGGTGGTCAAGGCACAAGTGGTCATCGCCAGGGACATATCTGAACAGTCAGTTTAACTGGAGTCAATGCACAGACAGCAGAATGTCCATTCCACTTACACGCATCTCTACCCTGTTCCGCTTCCATCAGGCCCTTGCTAGTCTGTCCACGTGGACCCACCACTAGAGGGAGGAAAGATGGAAGAAGAACATGTTCAGGGCAGAAGAGGCAGTGCACTGAGTTCTGTAACGATTGAATTTGGGGCGGAGATGTCCAGTGTGTATTTGTAAATGGTAGGCTGGAGGTAAAGGGGGAATTGGGGCTACAACTACGGGTTTGGGAATCAACAGTTTACAGGCAATAACTGAAACCATGGAACTGGAGAGTCATTCCATGGGGATGGACTAGCGCGAGACAAGATGAAGGCTGGAGAGGGGGCCCAGGGTTCCCCCATGGTGCCTTGAGCTGCTCACACTGGTTCACAAGCACTGATGCCCAACGGCTCTTCCCAACTGAGTGTCCAGTGGCTTCGTATTGATGACCTGAAATCAGTCACTGTGGAGACGGGAAAATGCCACGAGCCAGATTCCCTCCCCCTCTCCCGCTTTCCCAGAGGGCTGGTTGTTAAATATTTATCTACACACCACTGGTTACACTAAGATTTAAAGAGAGAGGAAGAGGAGCCAGAAGAGGCCTCTGAGAGAGTGTTGTCAGAGGCGGAGGTGATCAGATGAGAACAGTGTTGAGAGGACAGTTAAGAAAGTGTCAGAAGACCAGGGTGTCACATGCTGTGAGCACGTCTAGGGAGAAGAGGACCAACGAGGCCAGAGCACTGTCACTGAGGGAGCGAATGGGGAGGCTGGACAGAGGAGAAGGTGGATGTGAGGAGTCAGCTAAGGGGTGGCCGGGAAGGCTGGGGACCTTGGTCCAGTCCCTGGACATCAGTCTGGGTCCATCTGAGCTCAGGGGGCTCCCAGGTCAGGCTTGGCTCCGGGGCAGGAGCAGTATCTGTATCTTGTGGTTCTGTTTTCCAGGCTGTTTCTCTATCCAAGGCCCAGAGTCCGTGAGAGGCCCAGAGAAGGGCTCCTTGACGGTGCACTGTCGCTATAACCCAGGATGGGAGACCTATGTGAAGTGGTGGTGTCGAGGTGCAAAATGGGACTCATGTGACACCCTCATTCGAACCAGAAAATCAGAGCAAAAAGTGATTCGAAACCGTGTGTCCCTCATGGATAATCAAAGAGACCGCTTGATCACGGTGACCATGAAGGAGCTCAGGCGAGACGACCAAGACACCTACTGGTGTGGGATTCAAAGGCCTGGAACTGACCTTGGGGCACCAATTAAAGTGATCATTGACCCAGGTAAGAACTTTCTCATGTAGACTATGAGGCCCTGACACTCAGGACTGAAAGAGTGAGGGCTCCTGCCAGTCTCCTTCTAAGGGCAGAAGGGAACTGACTGAGTTCCTGAGAACCAGTGTGTGTGTGTGTGTGTGTGTGTGTGTGTGTGTGTGTGAGAGAGAGAGAGAGAGAGAGAGAGAGAGAGAGAGAGAGAGAGAGACAGACCGATAGATGGGGAGGGAAGTGAAAGACACTGAGGCAGAGGAGCAGCCCCATCCTGGTCCCCATCACAGTGCCGGAGGCCTCCCCGAAGTATCCGGCTGACATACAGCAGGAACGGCTGGGTGAGTGGGGATGTGGACCACGGCTTCGGTGAGCATGGCCCAGCCCAGCTCTCCCAGGCACTGGACAGCCCTGGCAGCCCCACATTCTCTCATAGGAGCCCCAGTGGACCTTGGACGCCTGCAGAGGGTCCCAGGGTATCACTGTAGGAAGTGGTCAGTCTCTGCCAGTCACAACCTGGATCTGTCCTTACATAGCGGGAAGGGGGATGACACTTGATGCAGCCCAGAGGATCTCAACACTGACCCCTAGGAACTTGGCCAGTGCTGAGTGGCTCTGCGCATTTATAGAGCTCTCCTCTGTGGGTCCCCAGTTGCTCCCTCCTCTTCTTTGTCTGGCTGCATAAGTGTAAGCAAGGAGTAAGAGGGGCCCAGGGACAAGCTCAGGTGACAGTGGACACTTTAAGAAGAAAGGAAGGTTTGGATCATTATGTCAATATCAGGGGCCTCTTTGGATGCTCTGGGGTCTCCTCTAGGCCTGAAGCCATCAAAAGATTCAGGGCCCTTCCTGGCAGCACAGCCCTGCTACTGTTGCTAGTGCTCTAGAAAGAGCCCCTCTCCACTGCCCAGTGCGTGTGTGCCCTGTCACCCCTCAGCCCAGCGTCCACTCAGGGGTGATAGATGGTGATATGCAAATAGACAATGCTGGCCTTAGAACCCTTTATTGTTAGGGTTGAAAGCAGAGAGAGACGGGGATACCACTGGGTGGAGTGGAGTCCAGAGAGGACCAGCCAAGCAAAACGTCCCCAGGGCTGCCCAGTAGGGGAAGCCAAGATCTGCAGGGACAGAAAAGGGATTGATTAAGACATAGGAGCCGGGACCAAGTCAGGCTGAAGTGTGCCCCATAGGGAACTTTAGGGAGAAAGGCAGAGTTTAAGGGTCTTGGGCACTGAGCCCAGGGAGGGACCAGCGGGAAAGCGACCAGGGGCCTCCAGAGGAGCTGTTATGACAGCAGTTAGCTGGAGCTCAGCCAGGAGCCGCCCAGCATGACCAAAGATGGGACTTTGCAGAACAGAGCTTGCCAGGCCTGGGACTCAGATACCAGGCAGATCACGGACACTTGGTGCAAAGCGGGTCTCAGGATTCCATGGCCAAGCGGCTTACCATCAGCTGTCTCACAGTTTCTCATAAAGATGTCTCATTCCTCCAAGTCGCTGTTCACTGTTTAACTAGATGGGCCCTCTTATTCACAAGCCTTCCGGAATCGTCCTCATGCTCATCGTCCCAATAACTAGATGCTCCGTTTCCAGGACCTTGCTCAGGCCTTGCTTGAGCAAAGGGACCAGGGATTCCACACCCCCTCACGCTCAACCAAAAGTCCCTCTTAGAGGAGGAAGTGGCGAGAACATGAAAAGGTTGATCTCTCTCCCCAGAATAAACTACAGTGCTTACTCCTATTTAATTTTCATTTCTTCTTGCCACACCTGAAAATGATAGAAACAATGACCGTGTGTTGTGGTTCAGATGACACAATAGAAAGGGGAGAAGCCCGAGGGACTTACCCAAAGAGACAAAGCTTCCTGACCAGGGGAAAGGGGGGTCTCGTGGTGAGGGCTGGCAGGAGGTGAGTGGCAGTGGGGGCCAAGCACCAACCCCCAGTCTGTGCCGGCTTTGCCTGTGTCTAGAGGGAACAGTCGGGACCGGCCTAGAAAACCTGCTGTCCAGGACAAATTTCGACAGAGGGTTTTCTTCGGGCTCCAGGATCAGGTGAGTGGCTGTGGTCCTTTTTCCTGCCCCTACCTGAGGCCTCTCCCATGGGGCGCTGAGCCTGGGAACCCCTCTGCACCTGTGAGGTCACCTGATGCCAGAGCCAGTCATAGGCAGGGTCAAGGCCCCGAACTCTCTCCGTCTCACTCCTGCCTGTCTCACTGCTCGCCCTCCACTTTCTTTCCCACCACAGGCCCCACCAGAAAACCGCTCTGCAGAACACTCCTTTATAAGCATTATCATCCTGTTCAATTATCAACAAAAAAGCATTGAAGGCCTGGTGGGTTGCCAAGGGGAGATACAAACGTCCACAACGTAAAGCGTCAGGTGCCACAGAGCAAGAGGGTGGTTTAGCCACCTGGACTTGACATGAGTGGGACAGCGAGGATGCTGGGGCAGCCAACAGCCTGTCCTGGGTGACCTGCAGGTCTTGGGTGACCTCCTGGGCTGAGGTGCACTTCGGGCCAATGGGGGGGGGGTGTCTCAGGAAGAAGGTGGGCCCAGTACAAAGCAAAACCAAAAGCTGAGGTTACCTCTCTGGAGCCCTCATGGTTTAGCCATCGAGAAGGTTCTTGGGGGTCTTCGGAGCGAGGTTGCCAGGCCGGCTGGCTAATGCCCCACAGTGTCAGGGCACCGGGAGGGATGGGGCCTAACGGGGCCGAGGGCCCTGACCTCTCTGTCCTCTCTCACAGGACCCACTACATCCTCTTGGTATTTGTGAAGGTGCCCATATTGCTCATCTTGGTCGGTGCCATCCTCTGGTTGAAGGGCCTGCCGAGGGCCCCCGAGGAGCAATGGGAACAGCCTATCTATACGAACTTGTCCCCTGACCTGACCGCAGACACAGCCCCTTAGACGGATGAGAAGACCCTTCCGACGCTGGACCCCATTTCCAGAGGAGACAGGGGCTGTGGAAGGAACATTTCTGAGTCCTCAGGGTGCAACGGCTGAGGCTGGGAGCCCTGTGCTCTGCACAGCTCAGGGACACGGCTCAGGCCCCTCCTGAGGTGACATCACTGCCTGGAGTGCCAGCACCTGGTTCCCACTCCTTCAGGAAGAGAGCAGCTACCCCACCCCACTAGGGGTCAGGGCTTACGGTCAGGAGCTGTTGGGACGGAGCCCGAATTCGGCAGCTGTGTCCCCACTGCCAAGTTGGGGACTGAAGCAGAGAGAGAAGCAGCAGGAATGTCAGAGAAAGACAGAGATGGGGCCCTGGCCACGCCCTGGTTTCTATCCGTCCTGAGGCCAGCTCAACACTCTCTATGCCTGAGCTTCTGAAACATGTGTAAGCTTTCTGAAACCATTTATTCCTTAGCCAGTCAAGCTGGGTGTTGATGGTTCTTGTCCATGAAAGGCCTGACTGAAGTGCACACACACACACACACACACACCCTAAAGAGGGTGATACTGTGTGATGAGTTCCTGGTTCTGGGGCCTGAGAAGCTGGATGTCCCCTCTGCCCAGAGAGGACACCGCTCTGAGTACACAAGGCTGAAGACGGACCAGGAGCCTCGCTGGGCCCAGCTGTAGAGCCGGCCTTCCTCCTTCTTCCTCCTCCTTCTTCCTCCCTCCCTCCCTCTTCCACTTCCATTGTGGCTCCCACCTCTCAGGGCTGGGGCTTCTTAGGGGCCATAGTTAGGAGTCTGACCCGAGCTTCTCCCCTCAGCACAACTGCTTGGGTCCCCCTTGGGGCTGCTGAGCCTCAGAAACTACCTCAAGGTCAGGGAGGGCGGTCATAAAAACTGAGGAAAACGGTCTTGTCTCTTTTAATTAATGTTGCTTAAATAAGGTGAATTAAGCTGCCTGAGAGGGGCTGGCCGAGTGGCGCATTGGTTAAGAGCTGGCTTAGGATGCCAGCTGTGAGCAGCAGGGCCCCGGTTCGGATCCCACATGAGGGCCAGTGACACTGGCCTCTACAGCTAAGGTGGTGAGCAGCAGCTCGACCTGGAGCTGGGCTGCCATGAGTCGCTGGCAACAGCGTAGGCTGCAGCCCCTGCTGCAGTGGACAGCCATGAGCTACCGTGTGTGGCCAGCAGCCAGCGTGAGAGGCCGGCAGCTGGTGTGAGCTGCCAAGAGCTGCCATGAGAGGCCATCCAGAGGTCAGTGACTGATCTGCCTCATCCGGGAAGAGCGCAATGATAATACCAACATGGGCCAGTGAAGCGACGTCCTCCACAACTAGACTGAAGAACAAAAGGACAGCAACTTGTCTGTTCCCTTTCCCCGATTCCCCAGCGCTGTTCCCCTCTCCCAATTCCCCAAAAAATCTTTAAAAAAACAAACCAAACAAAATAAAAAACAAACTCCCTCTGAGAGATAAAATGGGCGCTCTCTTAAGTGATTTTATAAAAATTCTGCATTTTAAAAAATGTCAGAGGAAAGATACTCTCTCTCTCAAGAGATCCACTCTCACCCCCGAGACGTCTCTGCACTGTGAGAGTTCGCACCATGGGGGTCGTGTCTCTTCACCCCAGGGGGCGTTTCATCCTCTGTGAAGAAACACTCCCATCTGAGATACGTACCCCCCACGAAAAAACACACAATAGGGACACGTTTGAAAAATGTTCTTTTTTGTTTTTTCCCCCCCAGTGTTATTGAGGTATAATTGACAAATAAAAATTGTGTGTATTTAAGGTGTAAATGTGATTTTTTTAAAGGTGTGCAATATGATGATATAATATACACGTACATTGTGAAATAATAACCACGATCAAGTTAATGAACACATCCATCGCTTTACAGAGTTATCTTTATTTTGCATGTTTGCTTGTTTGGTGTGGTGAGAAGCTTAAGATCTACCCTCTCAGCATATTTCAAGTATACACCATACTATTATTATTTAGTATGGCCACCATGCTATACATCAGATCCTCGGTTCATTCATCTTATAACTGAAAGTTTGTGCCCTGTGTCCACCCTGCCCTTTGTCCTAATAGATGGGCCCTTTGTTCTCCGCCTCAAGGGGCCGTGGGAAGATGCCTCAGCAGGGGGTAAAGGAGAAGGAACTCCCGGTTCCCACCATGGTAGCTGGAACCTTCCCTCCCCACTGGAACGCTACCATCCCTTCCCTTCCCCCTTCAGACAACGAGAAACTCGCTCCCACTTCACACTTGGTTTAGGGCTCTGGTCAGTGACGGGCCTGAAAATTCCACAGTGTCCAGACAGGGCAGAGTTTGAGCCAGACTAAGACCTTCAAGTCACTTTGCTGGAGACCGAGGTCCACAGTCCACCGTCTCCAAAGGCTCCCTCTCAGTGGATACTTCCCTGCATCCAGCCTCCCAAAGACCTGGCCAGTCTAAGTGGCCCAGCAGTTCTGCAGGAGGCAAAACCAGCGCCCAGCCCGTCACCAGCTGGCGCAAATGGGTGAGGGGCCATCGGCGCTTGCCAACCTAGTGCCAATGCTTTTCCCAGTTTCGTACTGTTGGTAATTAATAAACCCCTGATCAGGAGATACCAGGGTTGTCACTCTTATAACATCATCAGAGGGAACCTGGATGCCCACCAGAGTGGGCGTCTAATTTTCTGTCTGTCCTGAACACCACCCCCACCACACACACACACATGCACACGCTTCTGGTTACTGCCCCTTAGGTTCCAACAAAAATGTCAGCGAAGCTTGCCTAACATGCCGGGGTAAGGAGAGAGACAGACATTAAATAAATTAGCCACGAGAGCTAGCATAGCGTTTTCCAGCAAATGTGTCTCCATAAAAGAGCCTGGTGCAGAAGCCCTCAGGCAGCTAGACTGGAGGTTCCTTATGTGCTGACTTCAGCGTGGATGATAACCAAAAGCTAGTAGAGGTGGAGAAGTGGAGAGAGCAGGTAAGGATCACTCTTTTCAGAGGAGAGCACTTCTCCTTTCTCGTGGGTTCCTCCTCACCAGCCTTTACTTCTGAGCAAGCATGTGACCACAGAGGAAGTTCACAATGGCAGAGAGAAGCTGGCTGGGGGCAAGGGCCACGAGAAACGCCCTCCTACTAGGACCTGGGGTGTGGGGTTCTTGCTTCTTGATGCTGCATAGATCCTGAATGGTATTTTCTTAACAAATGAGACTACAGGAATAAGTTTCCAGCACTTTCCTCACCTATCCTCTGAAACTTCCCTCTCCGTGGCTCGCTTATCAGCCTGGCCTTGGTCCACCTGCCTCAGGCTTTCCAGATCCTCATGGCTGAGTCTCCTTATGTCTCCGCTGCAGACGCCTGCCCCCTGTGAGTCTGGGAGTCGAGTCTCCACCTAGAATGAGGGTCCAGCTGAAGCTCTGGCAGCTCTCCTGGGGCTCCCCCTGAGCACCACTCCCTCATCCCCTTGGCTGGAAGGGCACCAACTGTTGCCCTGTATCATCTCCATCCCAGCTCCTCCTTTTTTGAGCTTAGGAAACTGGGATCCATGGTTGGGCCCCTGGCCACCTCCTGTCAGCCCCCAACCAGGCTCATGAATCACCCTGCGTCAGTGCAGCTCCATGACTGGGGCCAGCTCAGCATGGCCAGAACAGGAGGTGTCCTGAGGACGGAGGTCAGCGTTAGTCCTCAGCAGGTGTGATCCCTATTCAGGGGAGGGCTCCAAGCTGTTTTGGGGAGTTAGGACTGAGGCTGCTGTTCCCATTGAAAACATGGGATTGGGACCAGGGCAGACCTTTATGACCTCATTTACTCCTCTGTTCATTCGTTCATTTGTTCATTCATTCATTCGTTCAACAAATGTAACTAGTAAAGTACCTACTAAGTCCAGGCACCGTTTTGGGTGCACACTGACTTCTTAAAGAACAAGGAGAGCCTCTCGCTGTCTCCGTGTACACATTTGGCTTAAAATGCAAGAGGTTGTTCTCATTTCAACCGCCCTCCTTTTATGACTGAAGAGGAAGGCTGCAGCTGAGGAGGGAGATTACTGGCAGCCACCATCGCAGGTGGCTTAGAAAGCATAGCTTGGGATGGAAACAGTAATGAGATACTACTACATACCCATTAGAATGGCTAAAATCTGAACCTCATTGTCCTCGTCTGTAAAGTGGTGATGAGCACAGGGCCTGTCTCATGGGGTGACCGTGGGGATTAAGGAAGACCCTGCTGGTACACCTGACGCTGACATTGAATAATATTGTATGTCAACTATAATTGAATATATATATATAGTCACGGGATGTGGAGTACAGTGTGGAGAGTGGAGTCAATGGAATTGTAATAGATATGTATGATATTGGGGGGGGGCGGTGGATTCAGGGAGGGGGGTTGCCACTTTGTGAGAGGTAAAAAGTATAACTATTGCATTGTTTTGTACATCTGAAACTAATAAAAAATTTTTTTAAAAAGAAGAATTAGAGCTCTCTATTTGCTCCTAGGAAATGCTTGATGAAGTCTGTGAGGGGCCAGAACCATACAGGCTCTTGAAAGCTCTTCCCAGGAGAGAGGAGACCCAGTAATTCTGGGCCAAGGGGCAGATCTCTCAGACATTGGCTTCCTGTAGAGGACACAAATTAACTTAAAGTTACCTGAAGGCACACCAGAACGGGTCTGGGGTCAAACACAGAATCAGAAGGTGTTTGCCTGGCTTGGCAGGTAAAACAGAAAGTGCATGAAAACAATATGCTTTTGAGCTAAGCTGGTCCCCAAGACAAAGGTGAACCCATGGGAATTAGCTCCCTACCTAGTTTATATCTCAGTTCTGAGGAATATGCCGCTTTCTCTTTAAGATTTTGATGACTCACCAGACAGAGCTGGGTGAGGACTAAGCTGAGGTCAAAGAGAAGCTTCTCGAGCCCTCAGGTAGAAGTGCTCAGTGGTGTCAGCTCCAGTGAGCCACCTGAGTCCATACTCGGAGCTGGGAACCAAGAGTTTCCTGTGATTCGCCTCTGCACTTAGCAATAAGAATGGAACAGGGAAGATGGCCTCTACGGCAATCAGACTTCCCCACCATCAACCCCGAGTGGTGGCCACTGCAGGAGAATCAAACACACTGAGCCAACGCATGCCTTCCTCCCAGAAGCAGAGCTGGGGCCCTCACCCAGCCCCTGTGCCATCCCCTGGTCGCTGTCCCTCATCCCAGCCAAACCAGATGGCGGACGGCCCCAGAGCCTCCTGTGGCCACCACAGCTTGTCCTTCTGTGCGTCTTCCCTCCCTCAGCCTTGCTCCCATCTCTCTTCTGGCTCCTTAGGCTCTTACTTCATTAGTTATTATGAAGTTGCTATTATTAGTTATTATGAATATCATTAGTTATTATTAGTTCATTCCTTTGTTCTGCAAACTGGTATTGAGCACCTAGTGGGCATAAAGCACTGTAGGGGACACTATGGGGGACCCCAGGTTAGAAAGATACCAAGGAAACAACCCAATCACCAATCTCCTGGGGAGCAGATAAACAAGTGGTGTATTTATACTACGGAAGGCTATTCAGCAATAAAAAGAACCAGCCTACTGAGATGTTCAAGGGCAGGAGTGGATGTAAAGAGAATCGTGCCGAGTGAAAGACGCCAGACACAAAATGTCCTGGAGCTAGATAGAGGTCTTGGTTGCACAACACTGTGAATGTCACTTCAAAAAGGGTTAATTTTACGTTATGTGAATTTCACCTAAAATGTAAATTTTAGGTTTTAGGTGAATTTCACATCTTTAAAAGGAAAAAAAAAATCTATGGTGACAGAAGCAGCTCAGAGGTTGCCAGAGACTAGAGGTGGGGATGTGTACTGACTGCAGAGGGGAACAGAGAACTTTCCAGAGTGATGGAAGATTTCCATTTCACGAAGGTGATGGTGGCTACACTGACCAAAACTCATCAAACTGTATACTTACAATGAATGAATTTCATTTTATTATAAATTATACCTCAACAGAGCTGATTTTCATTATTATTATTATTAAGTTATCCAGTGTGCAGCCTGGCCGGGAA